ACAATGCCTACGTATCTGTTATGTTCGGCGAAGGCAACACAAACCGCAATTTATCATCAGAACAGAAAACGTAATAATTATTGCTTCACGATAAACAGAAAAACCGTGACTCCTTATCGCTCTTGTGATCAGTTTCATTCATTCGCGTCGAGGGGGAGGGTGGGGGTGGGGGGGGGCGTGGTAGTACACAATATTCCTGATAAGATAAGAAGAAATTCATAAGAATTTTGATATGATTTTTATTATTTGACTTTTACTATCATGCACTTCCAATGAGGTGATGATAGAACTGGTATGACGATAAGGTATGTCATAGGGAGGGTGTTGGCGATGAAGATAAAAGATAGTGGTGGCGGTCGTGGTGGTGATGATGGTGATGGTGGTGATGATGATGATGAAGATGATGAGGGTCGTGGTTGTGATTGATGGTGATGATGAAGGTGATGAGGGTCGTGGTGGTGATGATGAGGGTTGTGGTAATGAGGTTAGTGATGGTGAGGATGATGATGATGATAATGATAATAATGATCATTGTAATGAAAATAATAACGGTAATAGTACCAATTAACAATAATGCCGACGATGATACCCCGAATAATGAATTATAACAGAAATAAAGATGACAATAACGACTTTAAAATAGTATCATCATAAGCAATCACGAAATTCAGCAAAATAGAATACCCCCCCCCCCCAAAGAAAAATGCTAATTCGTAAAAAAAATAATAATAATAACCATAAATAAATAAATAGAAAAATTAACTAATAAATAAAAAGCTAATTCGCATTACTTCTCTCCTTCGCCAGCCCGAAGAGTTCTGGGGTCGCCTGGGCCGCTCTCGCCTTGAGTGGCAGAAGGACTTTAGCGCCGTCACTGACCACGACTTCGACCAACATGTGTTCCGATGGTTCCCAGATGGCCAGCTCAACGTGTCGGGTGAGAGGGGGGTCGAGGTGGGAGGGGGGTGGGGGGTCGAGGTGGGAGGGTCGGATGCGCTTGTGGGGGTCTGTGGGGGGGGGGGGGGGAGGGAGGTGGGGAGGGGGGAAAGGGAGGTCAAAAGAAGTTTTATTGTTTATATTCTTTTGTCAAAAAGTGGTAGGAAAAAAAAATCATCAAATAATATGTTTCTGCAATATTTGTTTTCAAAGTACCACATCAAAAAAAAAAAAGAAAAATGTTTCTCTCTTTATGAAAAATATTCATTATTTTCGTTACGCAAACAAAAAAATACAAAAGTCAACATCCACGCCACAAATAATCCACACGACCTAATTTCCTTGCCCATTTCCTTCCGTCTCAGTCAACTGCGTGGACAGACACGCCCGTATCCACCCGGACCGCGTGGCCCTTCTGTGGGAGCAGGACGAGCCGGGCCACACGCAGAAGGTGACGTACAGGTGAGGTCATTTTGGACGGCAAAATAACCCGGTAGATTTTTTTTTTCTTTCTTCTTTTTGTCTATTTTTTTTTCTTCTTCTTCATCGTCTGCTTTTTCTTATTTTTATTATGTTTTTTTTTTTACTTTCTGTCTGTCTTTTTCTTCTTTTTCTTCTCTCTCCCTCTCTTTCTGAAAGAAGAAGAAGAAATCTTCTTCTTCCTCTTCTTCTCTCTTCCTTTCTTTCTAACTTCTTTCTTTCTATTTCTTCTTCTTCTTTCTTTATTTCTTTCTTCATCTTCTTCCTTCCCTTTTTTCTTTCTTTCATTTTTGCGTGGTGATAATTTATTTATTTGTTTTTCTTTCTTTCTTTCTTTCTTTCTTTCTCTCTTTCCTTCTTACTTTCTTTCTATCTTTCTCTATCTCTTTCTTTCTTTATTTCTATTTTTCTCTCTCTCTTTCTTTCTATTTTTTTGTGTATGGTGGGAGAGGTTTGCTTGGAGAATTAACCCTACCTGCTTGCATAGTAAATGAAGATACAAGCAAGAATGTTTAATATCTATTATAACGATGATGAGGATGAACGATGTAGGATATGCAGGATGTAGGATTGGAAGTATACGTTAGGTGTGAGCGTAACAGTTAAAGCAATATAAGGTTAATATATTACATACCTAGTACAGTTTGGGATTTTAGATGGGGACTAGCAACCACATTAGATATTACTGTATATTATATAAAGATAAAATGAACAACGGTTGGGATATGAGATAGGGAATAGAAATATGCTTTGATATTTAAAAAAAAATAAAGAGGTTTTACTATTGATATTATGCAGACAAAAGTACCAACCTCCGATCTTATTCCCCCCCGAGGCTGATATGCCCCTCTTCCTCTGGAGCTTGTTCCCCCGAGGCTGATACACTCCTCTTTCTCTGAAGGGAACTGCAGGAGCTAGTATGCCGTCTGGCGAACGTCCTGCAGGATAGCGGTGTCGGGCGAGGGGACCGCGTGGCCATATACCTCCCCGTGTCTCCCCTCGCCGTCGCCTCCATGCTCGCCTGCGCCAGGATCGGGGCCGTCCACTCCGTCGTCTTCGCGGGCTTCTCTGCCGACGCCCTCGCCTCCAGGATCCAGGACGGTGAGTGCAGCGGAGGAAGGGTCTCTGCGGTAGAAAGGGAAAAAAATGGAAGAAAGAAGAGAGAGAGGGAGGGGGAGGGAGAGGGAGAGGGAGGGAGAGAGAGGGAGAGGGAGAGGGAGAGGGAGAGGGAGAGAGAGGGAGAGGGAGAGGGAGAGAGAGTGAAAGAGAGAGAGAGAGAGAGAGAGAGAGGGGGGGGAGAGGGAGAGAGAGAGAGAAAGAGAGAGAGAGGGAGAGAAAGAGAGGGAGAGAGAGAGAGAGAGAGAGAGAGAGGGAGAGGGAGAGGGAGATATATATAGAGAGAGAGAGAGCGCGAGAGCGAGAGCGAGAGAGAGAGAGAGAGAGAGAGAGAGAGAGAGAGAGAGAGAGAGAGAGAGCGAGAGCGAGAGCGAGAGCGAGAGCGAGAGCGAGAGCGAGAGAGAGAGAGAGAGAGAGAGAGAGAGAGAGAGAGAGAGAGAGAGAGAGAGAGAGAGCGATGCAGAGAGGGGAGGGAGGGAAAGAGATAGGAAAACACACACGCGCGCGAGCACACACACACACACAAAGGTTACAAATGCTAACGATGAAATAATGAAACGCATGTGTCTTGCTCACAGTTTGGTCTTGCAAAGATGAGGAAAATATCAGGCCTTTTTTTTTCTTTTTCTTTTTTTCTTTCTTTCTGCAAAATCTATTTTAATTAATGTAGATCACAGCACATCTTATAATTTTCTAAGCACATCAATAGAAATCAATTGACTCTTCACTTACACGAAGACAGAGAATTATCATGTAGTTCGCTAAGGTTTCACTTGCTATTGATATGTTGAGTGCGATGAACTAATTAAGCCCCTGTACTAGTTTGTATTTTTGTAGAGCGAAGAAGAAAAAATAGCATTGAGCTACGTAATTGGTCTAATTAGGGGCTTATGCAAAATGCAATATGCAATTGCAAAAAAGAAAGCATAATTGATAAATGTTGAAGTCATGTAATAATGTAACAGTTTTCACAAGACAGTGGGTTATGATAACAAAAAAAGAGAGAAAATAAAAAAAATAAAAGGTATTTTAAGATAAAGAAAAATCACATTATATCTAAAAAAAAACTTATTGAGATGAAAATCAGAATTAATGAAGTCGTAAAAAAAAGAAAAAAGAAAAAAATACATACATATATATTCTTTTATTTATTTAATCAGTTTTATTTCATTTCAATTCATTTTTTTATTATCCGCCAGCTGGTGCAGAGAAAGTCAGAAAAAGAAAAAGAACAAATACATATATATGTAGTATTCTTTTATTTATATCATTAGTTTTATTTCATTTTATTTCATCTTTTTTATTGTCCGCCAGCTGGTGCAGAGACAGTCATAACAGCTGACCAGTCGGTGCGCGGAGGAAAAACAATCCACCTGAAAAAGGTGGTTGACGCCGCTGTCGCCAAGTGTCCCTCCGTCAGGCACGTCTTCGTCGGCACTCGCACGGGCGGCGAGGTGCACAAGGGCGCGAAGGACGTGCATTTAGATCAGGTATTTGGCCGACTTTCTCCCGCCCTTTTGGAGTCTTGATAAAGAGTTCAGGTAGAAAGTGAAAATATGATGTTTTTTTTTCTTTTTTTTTTCTTCTTTTTATTTTATTTTGAGCCTAAGTCCGTCCTTTTTTTTTTTTTTTTTTTTTTTTTTTTTTTTTTGCTTTAAGTACATGTGGCTATATTTTTTTCTTGTTTTAATAATATGCATCCGTAATTTTTATTCTTCTATTAATCATATATATATATTTTTCTTTTTCGTTATATGCGGCTAAATTTTTCATCTTTAATGTCATTTGATATTTTTTTCTTCTTTGGATCATAAATTATTTTTTTTCTTCTGTTTGGCCTCATGTGAATGCATTTTTTTCCTCCTTTAATTATATACAATTGTATTTCTTCATTCTAATCCTATATCACTGTCATTTTTCTTTTCAATCGTTTACTGAACGTAATTTTTTATCCTCTTTTCATATATAAAACTATATTTCCATTCTCTTATCATATGTAAAACTATATTTCCTTAATCATATATAACTGTATTTTTTCTTCATTTTAATCAAGTGTGAATGTATTTTTCCTCGTTTAATCATTAATAACTTCAATGTATTTTTCCTCCTCTGAATACATTTTTTTTCCCCTAATTTTCTTTTTTTTTAATCTAACTTGAATACATTTTTCTTCCACTGATCACACATAATTTTTTATTCCATTCTAATCAAACTTGAATCGATTTCCGCCTCCTTCAACCCTCAACTACCCCCCCCCCCCCCGCAAGCCATGCGAGGCGCTTCCACCGAGTGGACCCCCGCCCCCCAAAACACCGAGGATTCGCAATTTGAAATGTCTCCTTCCTCCTAAATATCCATTTCCTCCTCTGATCACTTATAAACTATAAACCACAAACTACATTTTGTATTACATTCCAATCAAACTTGAATCTATTTCCGCCTCCTTCAACCCTCAACAACCCCCCCTTTCCCTCCCCAGGCCATGCGAGGCGCGTCCACCGAGTGCGCCCCCGCCCTCCAGAATGCCGAGGACTTGCTGTTCCTCCTGTACACCTCCGGCAGTACAGGCTCTCCCAAGGGCGTCGCTCACTCCACGGCCGGATACCTGCTCTACGCCGCCGTCACCCACAAGGCACGTTGCTGCGGATGAGGAGAACATGGGAATAGAGATAAGAATAGGAATAAGAATGGGAATAAGAAAAGGAGGGGATTAAGAATGGGAATAAGAATAGGAGGAGGATTAAGAATAGGAAGAAGAATAGGAGGGGGATTAAGAATAGGAAGAAGAGTGGGAGGGGATTAAAAATAGGAATAAGTAGAGGAGGGGATTAAGAATAGGAATAAGAAAAGGAGGGGATTAAGAATTGGAATAAGAATAGGAGGCGGATTAAGAATAGGAAGAAGAATAGGAGGGGGATAAATAATAGGAATAAGAATGGGAGGGGATTAAAAATAGGAATATGTAGAGGAGGGGATTAAGAATAGGAAGAAGAATAGGAGGGGATTAAGAATAGGAATAGGAATAAGAATGAAAATAGGGTGTGGGATTAAGAATAATAATAGAAAGAGGAATATAAATAAGAATAAGAATAGGAATATAAATAAAAATGGGAATAAGAATAAGAACAGAAAAGGATTAAACATGGAAATAGGAATAAGAATAAGGATAAGAATAAGAATAAAGATATAAATAGGAATAAGCATTAACATAAGAACCGAAATAGGAATAACAATAAAAATAAGAATAGAAATAGAAAAAGAATAAGAATAAGAACCGAAATAGGAATAAGAATAAGGATAAAGATAATAACAGAAATAGGAATACGAACAAGAATAAGAACAGAAATAGGAAAAGAATAAAGATAAGAATAAGAACAGAAATACGAATAAGAATAAAGATAAGAATAGAAACAGAAATACGAATAAAAATAAGAATAAGAACAGAAACACGAATAAGAATATAGATAATAGCAGAAACAGGAATACGAATAAGAATAGGAACAGAAGTAGGAAAAGAATAAAGATAAGAATAAGAACAGAAATACGAATAAGAATAAAGATAAGAATAGAAACAGAAATAGGGTAAGAAGGCTTGACTGTCGGCCACAAGGTGTGTGCTGCGAATACAAATGTAGAACTAACTGTGTTGTCATGAGGTCGACGCCGCGCATTGCAAGTTGATGCGTTGGTCTCCTGTTGCAACGCTGATCTTGCGAGAGTTCAGGCTTTGGCAATATTTTTTTTCTCTCTTTTTTTCGTTTTTTCTTTTTCTTTTTTTTTTTCTTTTTTGTTTTCTTTCTTTATTTTGTTTTGTTTTGTTTTATTTTGCTTTCTTTTCTCTACATTATTCTTCGTTTCTTTTCTCTTTTCTTCTTTATTTTTTTCTTTTCTTTTCTTCTCTTCTCTTCTCTTCTCTTCTCTTCTCTTCTCTTCTCTTCTCTTCTCTTCTCTTCTCTTCTCTTCTCTTCTCTTCTCTTTCCTTTCCTTCCCTCTCTTTTCCTTCTCTTCTCTTCTCTTTCCTTTCCTCTCCTTTCCTTCTCTTTTATTTCCTTTCTTTTCTCTTCCATTCTTTTAACAAAATGCACCGGAAGCGAAATGTTTATACAAGATACTAACACCAAATAAAAAATTCCTTTGAATATCAAGATACAGAGAGATTTGATTATGAAATTTAGATAAGTTAAACTTTCGAGGAAAACGAGATTAAAAAAAAAAGTCATGATAAGGACGCCACCAGAGGGCGTTTCCGGGGATATTTTGTGGATTTTTTCTTTAAAGTTTCGTCTGTTTGTTAACTTGACAAGAGGAAAAAATCAAGATTTTTAGGAATAGGCTGGGTCGCCGGGAAAAAAAAGAAGGAAAAGAATATCTATCTATCTTTATCTATCTATCTAACTGAATCTCTCTCTCTCTCTCTCTATCTATCTATCTATCTATCTATCTATCTATCTATATATATATATATATATATATATATATATATATATATATATATATATATATATATATATATATATATGTGTGTGTATATATGGAGGGATGGATAGATAAATAAATAGATAGATATATAGATAGATGCTTAGATGTATACATAGATGCATACACACATACTACATACATGCATACATACATACAAGGATACATACATACATAAAAGTGAAAATCCATAGTTATTAACTTGACGGTTGATAGGCAGCTTCTTATTATAAAAAAATCTAAAAAATATAACACACTTTCTGGTGAAGCTATTGACGAATGAGTCTATTAATTGAACGCCTTTGTATATGGATCTTCACGACTATGATCAAATTCGCACAAAGATGTATTCGAACTCCCTCCATGACGCCCCTTTCTGCCAACAGCACGTGTTCGATTACCAAGACGGGGACGTGTTCGGATGCGTGGCCGACATCGGCTGGATCACGGGGCATTCGTACGTGGTTTACGGACCGCTGGCCAACGGCGCCA